GTTATAAGTACCAACATCAGCAAGTTCCTTCCCTCCACCAATATACAAGCCAAAGTCTTATCCTGTGATAAGACAGTGGCCGGTTTCCACTGGCCTGGTAAACCATATCCTTTCAGCCTTTGCTATAATAACCTGTGGTTCTACGTGTAGGAGTAATGGCGAGGTGTGCTCTGGCCATAATGACAAAACAAGTGTTCCCTCTAGACTACTAGTGCTTTTGCCTCCAAGCAGACAACAGACCTGTACCATTGGGGACCAAACAGCAGCGGTCCATGGCATGATCGTTAACCTTTGGGCCTTTTTTATTTATTGTTGAGACAAGGTCTCACCAAGTTGCCCAGGCTGATATCGATCTGGACTCAGCAATCTTCTTGTCTCAGCCTCCCAAAATGCTGGCATTACAGGTGTGAGCCACCATGCCCAGCCTAATTTTTTAATTTTTTTTGACAAGGTCTCACTGTATATTGCCTAGGATGGTCTCGAACTCCTGGGCTCAAACAATTCTCTTGTTCCAGCTTCCCAGAGTGCTGGGATTACAGGCATGAGCCACCGCACCTGGCCTATAACTTTATTTTATTTATTTATTTCTTTATTTTATTTATTTATTTTTTGAGTTGGAGTCTCACTCTGTTGCCCAGCCTGGAATGCAATGGTACACTCACAGTCACCCCAGCGTCAATCTGCTGGGCTCAGGCGATCCTTCTGCCTCAGCCTTCCAAGTAGCCAGAACTACAGGCGTGCACTCTCATGCCCGGCTAATTTTTTTTTTTTTTTAATAAATTTTAAAGATGAAGTCTCGCCAAGCTGCCCAGGATGGTCGTGAACCTGTGGACTCAGGCAATCCCCTCACCTCTGCCAATTTTATTTTAAATGGAGATTTTGACAAGGCATTATCAGCTGCCATAAAAAGATGCTACATTTATTCACCACACAATGTTTATATCATCCTTCCACCTAAAGCATCCAAGGCGCATACCCACATCTTCTTTTGAGCACGGCCAGCCTTCCAGTTCCGCCCTCTTTGGTGGGTGTGTGATGCACCAAGCCCCGTACAAGGCTCTGAGGGCTGAGGATGGGGAAGATGGGACCCTGCCCTCAGGGGGCTTACAACCCGGAGGAGAGCAAGCACCGTGTGGCAATACCATGTGGCAGCACTGCGAGGCCCCAGCCCATGAGGATGGCAGACGAGTGTTATGTGGCAGCACGGTGGCCGTCCTCCTGTGTCTAAGGGGTTGGCAGAGGGACACTAAGAAGATGCAAGGGACAGACTCAGTCCCCCTCAGCAAGTCCGTGGCAAAACTGGACTCAAGCCTAGACCCTCTGCTCAATCCAAGGCTTCGTGCCCCTCTGAGTGGTAGCTGTGGACAGAGGACAGCAGTCCATGGTCAGTGTCCCCATGATGGGCTGAGGAGTGTGGGAGGGGATAGAGGGACAAAAGTGACTGGGGCTTCTTCTTCTAGCATTGGGCATGGGCTGCCGGGCTCTGGCCCATGCTTGCCTGTGGTGCCCAAGAGCAGGGGTCTTGGACAGTAGCCCCTGCGATCTATGGCCTGGCTCAGAGAGCCACTGCCTGATGGCCTCAACAGACTCACACTCACACCCCTGGCCGCCCAGAGCTGTAACCACTGGACCCCACTGCTGAATATCTAGACCTGTAGTTCTCAAAGTGTGGCCCTGGGACAAGCAGCATCAGCAGTTCCTGGAAGCAGGTTAGAAATGCACATTCTAGGCCGGGCTCGCTGGCTCAGCCTGTAATCCCAGCACTTTGGGAGGCCAAGACAAGTGGATTGCTTGAGCCTGCGGGTTCAAGACCTGCCCGGACAACTTGGCAAGACCTCGTCTCTACAATAAATTAAAAAAACTAGCCGGGCATGGTAGCATGTGCCTGTAGTTCCGGCTACTTGGAAGGCTGAGGCAGAAGGATCGCCAGAGTCCAGCAGGTAGAGGCTACGGTGACCGGGAGCGTGCCACTGCACTCCAGTGTGGGCGAAAGAGACTCCAACCTAAAAAAAAAAGAAAAGAAAAGAAAGAAATGCACATTTTGGGCTAGGCACGATGGCTCACTCCTATAATCCCAGCACTTTGGGCGGCTGAGATGAGAGGATTGCCTGAATCCATGCAACTTGGCAAGACCTCATCTCTACAATAAATCAAGAAAAATTAGCTGGACAATGTGGCACACACCTGTAGTTCCAGCTACTTGGAAGGCTGAGGCAGAAAGATCACCTAAGCCCAGCAGATCAAGGCTGTGGTGAACATGAGTGTGCAACTGTACTCCAGCCTGGGCAACAGAGTGAGACTTCGACTCAAAAAAAAAAAAAGAAATGCACCTTCTGGCCAGGCACGGTGGCACACACCTGTAATCCCAGCTCTTTGAGAGGCCAAGGCAGGGGGTATTGCTTGAGCCTGGGAATTTGAGACCAGCCTAGGCAGCATAGCAAGACCTTGTTTCTACAAAAAATAAAAATAAAATTAGCCCAGTTATTGTAGTCCCAGCTACTCTGGAGGCTGAGGAAGAAGGATCACCTGAGCCCAGGAGTTGGAGGCTGCAGTGAGCCGTGATCATGCCACTGCACTCCAGCCTGGAAGACAGTGAGACCTTGACTCAAAACAAAAATACACATTCTTGGGCCCCAACCAAGACCCGCTGAATTTGGTGCTGTGAGGTGGGCCTCAACCTCCCCTTCAGCCCTGCCCCTGTCTTACATCTTCAACTATGCCAGCTGTGCCTCGGCTAAGCCATCCAGATCCTGCAGGGATGGCATCCACAGATCTGCAACTTGGAAGATAAATCCCCTGAAGATGTTAACTGCACTCCTCGGGGATTCTTCTACCCAACTAGGAGCACCAGGCCCCTAGTGGCAGCTGTGCCTTTGAGACACTCTTACACCTACGTCTTAGTCAGAAATCCCGTGAGAATCCCGCCTAAGTCCTTCAGAGCCCTCTTGGGCCTCAGGGAGCCTGCAGGCCAGGGGCTAGATTCGTCAAGGCCACCGGCCCTGGGCACCTTCCTCCCCTAGTCTCCCTGTCCTTCCTGTCACCCCTTCTTAAGCCAGTGTCTGAGTCTGCTCTGGCTGCCACAACAGAGCACCATGGACAGTGTGGCTTAAAAGCAAATTCATCTGCTCATAGTTCTGGAGGCTGGAAGTCCGCGGTCAGGGTGACAGCATGGTCAGGTTCTGGGGAGGGCCCTCTTCCCAGCTTGCAGATGGACAGTGTGTCTCACGTGGCCTCTCCTCAGGGTATGTGCGTAGAAGGAGATCTCTCTCTCTCTCTTTCTGTCTCTGTCTCTGTCTCTCTCTCTCTCTCTCTCTCTATGTCACTGTCTCTCTTTGTCTCTCTGTCTTTCTGTCTCTCTCTGTCTCTCTTTCTGTCTCTCTGTCTCTCTATGTCTCTCTTTGTCTCTCTCTCTCTCTGTCTCTGTCTGTCTCTCTTTCTGTCTCTTTCTCTTTCTGCTTCTCTGTCTTTCTGTGTCTCTCTTTTTCTGTCTCTCTCTGCCTTTCTCTCTCTTTCTGTCTCTTTCTCTTTCTCTCTCTGTCTGTGTCTCTGTCTCTCTGTCTCTTTCTGTCTCTCTGTTTTGCTTTCTGACTCTCCCCGTGTCTCTTTGTCTCTCTTTCTGTCTCTCTCTCTCCGTCCCTCTCCCCTCCCCCTCTTTCTTATATGGCCACCAATCCTATGACTCTTAAGACCCTTGTTGAGCCTTAATTCCCTCCTCAAAACCTTGTCTCCAAAACCCAGTTCCCTGTGGGTCAGGGCTTCAGCATATGGATGTGGGGCGATGCAAACCTTCCTTCCACAGCAGCCAGCTCGAGCCAGCTCCTCCTCCTTCCCTGAAGTCTTGACAGCTTTTCAGGAATCCCAGAAGTATTTCCCTTTCCATGGAAATGCACCCCAGGGCCCCAAGAAGTGATTCAACGGAGCGAAATTACAGGCCAAGGAAGTGGAGGCCCAGAGAAGGGACACCCCACCCCTGCCCCGTTAGGACCGCGCTGCGGGCTCCACCCTGTGAGAACCCCGCCCTTCACTCAGCAGCCCTGGGCAGGGAAACGGGGTTCCAGGTCCTGCTCGACCAGGAGAGCAGATGCACCCCTTTGTCCAGGCCTCCTCATCCACCCTCACAACACCACGTGGCTCCCAGGGTTGGCCGCCCGTCAGAGGCGCCAGGAAGCTTGTTGAGAGTTCAACTCGTGGGGCAGGGTATTAGGGTTCAGAAACTACCAATCGGGTACAATGTTCATTATCACCCCCCCAGTCTTCACCACTATATGACGGTCCAGCGTGTCACGGAACAAGTATGTGAACCTCTCTTTCTCTCTCTTTGTCTTTCTTTCTGTCTCTCTGTCTCTCTCGATCTCTCTTTCTCTTTCTCTTTCTGTCTCTCTCTTTCTCTCTTGTCTGTCTCTCTCTGTCTGTCTGTGAATCTAAAATAAAAATGGGAAAAAGAACCAGGCTCGGTGGCTCAGCCTGTAATCCCGTGCTTTGGGAGGCTGAGATGAGCGGATTGTCTAAACCTGCGGGTTCGAGACCCGCCTGGGCAACTTGGCGAGACCTCATCTCTACCATAAGTTAAAAAAATTAGCCAGGCATGGTATCGCACACCTGTAGTTTCAGCTGCTTGGAAGGCTGAGGCAGAAGGATGGCCAGAGCCCAGCAGGTCAAGACTGCGGTGGCCAGGAGCGGCCACTGCACTCCAGTCTGAGCAACAGAGTGAGATTCCAGCTCAAAAAAAAAATGGGCAAAAGTAAAATAAAAAAAGAGTTCAGGTCCCTGGACCCCAACCTCCACCATTCTATTCAGAACGGACAGGATTGGCCCAAGGGATTGGCGTGTCCAGCAGTGACTTCCTCGCTGCCAGGTGACTGTGTAGCTGCTTCCTTTGGGGCCCCCACACCGGGCAACCTGGGAAGGGCCCTTGCAGTCTTGCCCCCCGGAGTCTCTTCCTGAAACCCCGTCCCACCCACCCCAGGTCCCCCTTAACCCTCTCTCCTCTCTCCCCGCAGTGCGGCCCCAGCCGGAGCCCAGACCTTCAGCCTGAAGCACACAGAGCACGTGCGGGTGGAGTTGGTACGAGATGGGCAGGCCGAGGAGGTGGCCACCAACGGCAAGCAGCGCTGGCCCCTCTCGCCCAGCACCACGCTGCGGCTCACCATGAGCCAGGCCAGCACCGAGGCCAGCGGTGACAAGGTACCATGGCCGGGGAAGTCCACCCTCCACAGGCCACAGGGATGCTGGGGCCAAGCCGGGATGCAGGCAGGTTAGACCAGCCCTGTCCAGGAGAGCCCAAAGGTGGTTTCTCTTCACACGTGTCATTTTCAGTTTTCTAGTAGCCACTTTACAAGCGAGGCCAGCGCCAGGCTCGGTGGCTCAGCCTGTAATCCCAGCACTTTGGGAGGCCAAGGCGAGTGGATTGCCTGAGCCTGAGGGTTCGAGACCAGCCTGGGCAACTTGGTGAGACCTCGTCTCTACAATAAATCAAAAATTAGCTGGGTGTCGTAGTGCATGCCTGTAGTTCAGCTACTTGGAAGGCTGAGGCAGAAGGATCGCCAGAGCCCAGGAGATCAACACAGAGATGGCCGTGAGTGTGCCACACTGCACTCCAGCCTGGGTGACAGAGTGATATTCCAACTCAAAAAAAAAAAAAAACAAGGCCAGGTATGACAGCTCACACCTACAATCCTAGCTCTTTGGAAGGCTGAGCCAGGAGGATCACTTGAACCTGAAGTTCGAGACCAGCCTAGGCAACATAGACCTCATCTGTACAAAAAAATATTCTTTAAAACTAGCCAGGCAACCGGGGTCGGTAGCTCAGCCTGTAATCCCGCGCCTTGGGAGGCTGAGGTGAGTGGATTGCCTGAGCCCGCAGGTTCGAGACCCGCCTGGGCAGCGAGACCTCATCTCTACAATAAATCAAAAAATTAACTGGGCGTGGTAGCGCGCGCCTATAATCCCAGCTACTTGGAAGGCTGAAGTGGAAGGATCACCGGAGCCCAGCAGGTCGAGGCTGCAGTGGCCGGGAGCAGCCACTGCACTCCAGTCTGGGTGACAGAGTGAGACTCCAACTCAAAAAAAAAAACTAGCCAGGCATGGGGCATACACTAGTCCCAGTGACTCAGGAGGCTGAGGCTGGAGGATCCTTTCAGCCCAGGAAGTTCAAGGCTGTAGTGAGCAGTGATTGCCACTGTCCTTCTGCCTGGGCAACAGAGCAAGATCCTGGCTCAAAAAAAAAGATGAAATAATTAATTTTCACAATGTATTATTTAGCACCCTATATAAAAATATTAGCATTTCAATATGTCATCAACATAAAGAAATGATAAGGAAGCCGGGCTCGGTGGCTCAGCCTGTAATCCCGCACCTTTGGGAGGCTGAGGTGAGTGGATTGCCTGAGCCCGCGGTTCGAGACCCGCCTGGGCAACTTGTCGAGACCTCATCTCTACAATAAATCAAAAAAAAATTAGCCGGGTGTGGTAGCACACGCCTGTAGTTCCAGCTACTTGGAAGGCTAAGGCGGAAGGATCGCCAGAGCCCAGCAGGTCGAGGCTGCGGTGGCCGGGAGCGGCCACTGCACTCCAGTCTGGGCGACAGAGTGAAACCCCAACTCAAAAAAAAAAAAACAAAAAGAAAAGAAATGATAAGGAGATAGTGTATATTCTTCTTCCATACTAAATCTACAATCTCAGTTCAGCCACGTGTTCAGGGCTCAGTCACCACACAGGCTAGCAGCCGTCATATTGGATAGCGCTACATCAGACCTTGGAACGATGGCTTCACAGAGGGGTGGGAAGGTCAGAGCTCGGAACCACAGAATCACTGGAAGTCACAGTCACAAGTGTCCTCGGTCTCGCTGTCTGCAAAATGGGTGCTGGGCACCCATAGGGCAATTTGCTCGTGGTGAGGCTGAGACTCTCACTGTCTCCTCTCTGGGTCTCTAATAATGAACTTCACCCTGTGCCCGATTGTAGTGATGGCATGGGCATTATCCAGAGAAAATGACCCTAACCCTGTCCCCTCAGCGCCCAGTGGGAGCAAATATTAGCATGGCCCCTTTGGGGGGGGACCTAGGTGGCAGAGGCACACCAGGGCATGGGAGGGTCGAAGGCTTTGGCTATGCTCCGAGCCAGCAGGAGGGGAGAGAGTCCTGTCTAGTTAGATTATCTGGGATAAACTGCCCCACCCCCACCCCCTGCAACCCAAGAGTGCTTCCTGGAGGAGAGGGTTCAGATGTTTGGAGAGGGTTGGCTTAACAAGCTGTGAGGAGGGTGGTTCCTACAGCTTTTACTGCTTGTGATCTGTGACCTCTGCTCCTCTCTCTGTCCCCATGTGCCCCTCCCCACCAAGGTCACCGTCAACTACTATGAGGGGGAAGGAAAAATTCCCATCGACCAGGCGGGGCTCTTCCTCACGGCCATCGGTGAGTGGCGGGCTGAGGGCTGCGGTCATTCCGGGGGCCCAGCCCCTCCGCAACGCTAAGGCTGTTCTCAGTGCTGCAGACCTGAACAGGGCAGGCCTGTGGAGGGAGACCACACGTGTCCTGACCCCTCTGTGCTGGGACGGGGGACTTCCTGCAGGAAAAGGCATACCTTGAAGTGTCCACAACTCCCCCAGGGACAAAGGTAGTTGGCGCTGTGGGCTACTAAAGCGAAAAAGGAAAGTCTGTCCCTCCCTCCCTCTCCCCCGCAGCCTGGAGAAGGGTGTCCCTCTCACAGTGAGGGAAATGGCCATGGCCTGCCATGATCCTTGACAGTCCCAGCTACCCCATGCCTTCTCCAGGTCCAGCCCTAAGGGCACAGAGGTGCGTCTGAGGGTCTTCGGCTCACCTAGTCCAAGCCCTTCATTTGACCCACGAGGGTAGTGAGGCTCAAAGAGGTTGGGAAACTCGTTCAGAGTCAAACAGCGACTCGGTGGCAGTTTGAGTCCAGAACCCATAATGATTCCCCTCCCAGTTCTTTCCACTGCACCACACTGCCCTGCCCTGCCTGGGAGCCAGGCCTGCACGCCGGGCAGATGGAGCCCAGCCTGGCTTGAGAGGACCCAGGCCTGGGATCCTCTGAACCTCGCTCGACCCTCCTGCAGTTGAGGCATTACTTGTATTTCATTCTGTTTTTTAATCATAGAATGCTTAATCTAGGACATTTCCCAGGGCCACTGGTTCATCCAGCCTGGGTTTAGCGTGTAGATGGCTGGCACATGACACAGGGAGTAACACGTTACTGAGAGTCCACAACCCGCAGAGCGCTTTAAAGTTAGTGATGATGCCGGGCTCGGTGGCTCAGCCTGTAATCCCGCGCCTTTGGGAGGCTGAGGTGAGTGGATTGCCTGAGCCCACGGGTTCGAGACCCGCCTGGGCAGCGAGACCTCATCTCTACAATAAATCAAAAAATCAGCCGGGCGTGGTAGCACGCCTGTAATTCCGGCTACTCGGACGGATGAGGTGGGAGGATCGCCGGAGCTCAGCAGGCGAGGCTGCGGTGGCCAGGAGTGGCCACTGCACTCCAGTCTGGGTGACAGAGTGAGACTCCAACTCAAAAAAAATAAAAATAAAAATAAAGTTAGTGATGATGTGGCCTGCGGGTTGCATATCTACCCTGTGTCCAGGGTTGGGCTCACGCTTTGATAAGTGGGACAGGAGGATGATAAACGCCCGGCATTAACTGAGCACCTGCCCTGTGCCAGACCCCAACACTCGATGTTTTACCATCATGATTTCAGTCCATTCTTACAACTGTTCCAAGGACAGGTACTATTATTATCCCCATTTTACAGATGAGAAAACCAAAGCTCAGAAAATAAACACTAGCCTGAGGTCACACCCCTGGAAAGGGGTTGATGGGATGGCAAGTCATTCAAGTTATCTTATGTTCTCAGGGGGTCTCGGGAACTTCCCCCAAACGAGCTCCCAAGCCAGCCCCTCCCTCTCCAGCCCGGCTCTCAGCCACCAAGAGGCTCAGCAATGGGGCTTTTTGCTTCTCAGCTAATTCCCAAACGGGCTTGGTTGCTGGTTGCCCTGTCCCTCTTTCTGCACCGCGGGGGTGCCCAGCCCTGGGATGGGGGACCTCAAGATGATATCGGGGGACCTTGGGAGTGGGGAACTCAAAGCTCCCGTGTTGTGCTGAGCCCGGCACGTGTGTGAACCTCACACACACACACAGAGTCCCCGGGCGGTCTCAGATGACTGTCCCCGAGGAAACCTAATCCCACAGAGACAGGACACCTGAGTAGGCAGGAAGGGCAGGGTCCAGACACCTGTCACATGGGGGTGATCTCAGGAGGCTGACCGCACCATTAACAAGACTTCCACCACAGCAAGACAGACGCAGGGTAAAAGGCAAAATACGGCATGGAAAGAGACAGGACGGGGACTCTTCCTGTCCACAGGAAGACTGCAGTGCCTGAGCCTAGAAGCCATGGCAGGGCTGAGTCCCAGAGGGTGGAGGATACCGACAATGCCCATACTCAATGGCCACATGTGTCCTTCTGGCGGATAACAAATCCAGAGATTTAGGCTCCATGGGCCGGAAAAGTGTCCCCTCCTCCCCACACCCCCCAAAGTGAGAAAACTAACAACTCTGATGCTTGGCCAAAAAAAAAAAGACATTAATAAAACAATTTGCCATCAGTGATCATTGTCATTTTACCCCCTAAAAAACAGAGTATAATCTCGGAATAAAAGACAGTCATTTCCATGGCAAAAAGAAAGCTCTCTGGAAAACTCACCCCATTGAACTTAAGTCTCCTGTCCCCACAGGGACCCTGGTGAAAGCCAGGCTTCCCTCAAGAGCCTCTGGGTCCTCTGTCCCCCTCCAGGTCTTCTCCTTCCTCGGGCAACTACTCCAGGAACCCAGGAGCCCCGCTTCCTTAGGGATCATTCAGAGGTGAAGGTCCCACAATGGTGGGACTGCCCCCGCAAGACATGCCTGAATCTGTCTCACCCTGGTCCTGTCCTAAACCCACCACCACGCAGAACAGAATGAGCCCCAGCTTCAGAGTAGACAGAAATCAGTCTAACTCTGGCTCTGCTCCCCTCCAGCCACATTGTGACATAGGGCAAGTCACAGCGTCCTCCTGAGCCTCAGTTTCCTCATCTGCAAGATGGGACCCGCAGAGCATTCTTGGGTGGGGCCTGCAGGACTCGATGGGATGGCATGTGCCAAGGACCCGACACAGAACAGGTGTTCAGTCAACGTTCTCCTGTCTTCTCTCCCTTTCTCCTGGGGTGGCTACACTTTCTCTCTGCCAGGGTGATGTCAAAGATGTTCAATGTCCCTTGTCTTCCTCCTGGGATCTGGAAACAATCCCATGGTGTCTTTGGCCAAATTGGGCCCTGGGTCTTGGTCCGAGTCCTGCCAAGGACTCGCTGTGTGACCTTGACAAGTAGCCACTCCCTCTGGGCTTCACTTTTCCCCACCTGTTAAATGAGAATTGTGAGCTAATTAGTCCCTGAGCACCTTTAAGACTCCAGTTAGGGCTGATTTGCAAAGCCTTCCCTGCCGGGGGTGCGGGTGGGAGAGAGGTGTAGTCCCACCCTCACTGTGGTCCTGGCAGGGGCCCTTGAGACCGTGTGGCCTCCCCCCCGCCAGGAGCTCAGTCCTGTGCCCCCTCCCCAGAGCCTGGGATGATCACCCTGTCTGGCTGTGTGGGCTCCCCACTGCACACCAAGCGGCTCAGTAAGGCAAGAGGGCCAGGCATCCTGCCATCGCCCCTGGGTCACAGCTGAGGCCTCAGTGTCTTGACTGGCAGAGCAGACCGCCTTGAACCCAATCCTAGTGACATTTCCGTTAAGCCGCTCCACACCCAGGAGCCACCTGACACCTTGGGGCTATTCTGAGGAGCTGAGCTATGACCCAGAGTCTCTGGGAAATGCTGCCTGGAGCCCAGCGGCTGAAACAGAGCCCTCCCCTTCCTCTCGGGAAGGCAGAGCCATCCTGGAAGGGCAGGGCTCTGGGGAAGTCATGCCAGCCCCGTCCTCCATCCCTACACACCGCATCCCACCGGAATCTAGTTCAAGTGGACACGGAGGGAGACTTGCATGGCAGATGTCCTGAGGGCGTGGTTTGTAGCTTGAGGGCATCTCTGAGGGAGGCTGGAGGGGCGAGGAGGCCGTTTCAGTTGATTGTGGGGACTGGTCATAGGTCCTAAGGGAGACATTGTGAAGCACTGTCAAGGCAGGAGGAGGGTGATGGGGGTCTCATTATGACACTCCCAGGTTCCATAGCAGGAAGGCGATGAGACCTGTCTGAATTGATAAATCGAGAAATACAACAAGCATATTATTTAGTATTAGGGGAGTTGCCTCAGGCAGCCGAGGAGAAGGGCTGGGCAGTGCACTGCTGCCTTTCTTTCTTTTTTTTTTTTTTTGGGTTGGAGTCTCACTCTGTTGCCCAGACTGGAGTGCAGTGGCCGCTCCCAGTCACTGCAGCCTCGACCTACTGGGCTCCAGCGATTCTTCCGCCTCAGCCTTCCGAGTAGCCGGAATTACAGGCATGCGCTACCATGCCCGGCTGATTTTTTGATTTATTGTAGAGATGAAGTCTCGCTGCCCAGGCGGGTCTCGAACCCGTGGGCTCAGGCAATCCACTCACCTCAGCCTCCGAAAGGCGCAGGATTACAGGCTGAGCCACCGAGCCCAGCTGCTGCCTTTCTTTAGAAGCAGTTTGTGGCCAGGCACGGTGGCTCACGCCTGTAATCCCAGCACTTTGGGAGGCCAAAGTGGGACGATCGCTGGAACCCAGGAGTTCAAGACCAGCCTGGACAACTTAGTGAGACGTCATCTCTACATATAAAAATTAACAGGGCATGGTGATGTGCACCTGTAGTCCCAGCTACTCAGGAGGCTGAGGTGGAAGGATCTTCTGAGCTCAGGAGATCAAAGTTGCAATGAGCTGTGATCATGCCACTGCACTCCAGCCTGGGTGACAGAGTGAGACCCTGACTTAAAAAAAAGTGTGTTTTTTTTTTTTTTAAAGAAAACCAGTTTGTTACAATTCAATTTTGTATGTACTAGGTAACATGTTGCAGTCATAAAATTTTTAAACTTAAGAAATTGATAATGAAACAAAGCAGTATACAGTGTTTCATGAGGCCAGGTGCAATGGCTCAGGCCTGTAATCCCAGCACTTGTAGAGGCCAAAGTGGGAGGATTGCTTGAGGCCAGGAGTTCAACACCAACCTGGACAACACAGTGAGACCACCATCCACATAATAAAATTTTTAAATCGGCAGGTGTGGTGGCATACACATGTAGTTCCAGCTACTCAGGAGGCTGAGGCAGGAGGATGGCTTGAGCCCAGGAGTCTGAGGCCTGCAGTGAGCCATGATCGTGCCACTGCACTCCAGCCTGGGTGACAGGATAAGATTCTGTCTCTAAAAAAAATAAAATACAAAATAGAATGCTTTATAAATTTCCCTCCTATGACCCACTGTTTTAACGGACACATCACAGGGAGTCTCAATGTGGTGTCACCTGGAAGCTTAGGGACTGCCACAGGACTGCCAAGGTGGATGTGTGGCCACCTCCTCTGGGAACGACCTTCAGGGGAGCAAAGTCTTGGGTCTTTGTGGAGAGCTTGACTTTTGGGAATAGCCCGGAAAAAGGTTAGCCTGACTCAGTGGAGGGAACAGCAAAGAGCAAGACTCCAGAGTCAGAGCCCCCCGGGGGGTGCCTGGACCCCACACTCTCTGGAAACTGGCAATCCCTTCCCTGCTGGGGGCCTGGATTTCTGACTCTGTGGGTGCCAGTGCCTCCCTAGAGGGGTAACGAGACCACGTGGTAGGCACCCTGCACACGGGGAGACTGTGACCTGGAAGAGGACAGAGCGGCTCCCTGAGGAAGCCAGGCCTGCAGTGGGTGTGGGGGTGGAGCCTCGGAAAGCCGCCCTCCCTGAAAGGCAACATTCACTGGAGTGTGACCGGCTAGAAAGTTCACGAAGATCTGGGAGCCAAAACCAATATTGTTCCCACAGCTGAGCCCTCAACCTCTTCCACGGCGGTGGGTGGACACCCTTTCCCCTCTCTCCTTAGAACCTTTACCCCTCTCTAGCCTCCCAGAGGACCAGCCCAGTTGAAGGATAGGTGACTTCTCTGAGCCTGGACTTTCTCACCTGCGAAATGGGGGTGGTAGAATTTCTCTCACAGGCCTGCAGGCTCCCTGAGAGCAGGTGCCATGCCTCTACCCTGGGCCTGGCACAGTGCCTGTAGCACAGTAGATGCCCAGCAGTGATATGTTGAGTGAATGGGCCTGGTAGGAGGGTTATAAATTATGCCCTGAAGACTCTAACTCGCTGCAGGGCTGCCTCTACCCTCCTCCACCCTCCTACCTCCTTCTAGACCCAGAAAAGCCTCATGTAGGGTTCCCAGTCACGCAAACTACAGGCAAAGGGAGTACTCAAACGTGGTCCCTGGAGCGGTTGGGCCCAGTTGGCCCAGCGAAGGGTGACATCAGTGCCCTTCCCATGCCAGGACGCTCCTCCCCACCTCATCCAGGCAGAGGGTGTGCCTCCCAAGGGGACTGACTTGGAATGCGTTCATTCCCACCCAACTCCCACCGCAGTCCAAGTTGTGCATGGTGTGAGACGAGCCCACTTGGTCAGCTCCGGGGGCTGGAACCGGCAGGTGTCATGTGTGTGATACTCCCAACACCTCAGTCTCACTCTACTCTGCCCTGTCTATCTCCAACTCAGGCCACGCTGGCCTCTAAAGAGACATTTGACAATGTCTGGAGACATTCTGGGTTCTCACAACTGGGGTGTGATATTGGCATGTAAGATAGAGGACCTGAAGGTGCTGCTGGACATCCTACAAGACACAGGACATCCTACAACAAAGAAGTATTTGGCTTAGAATGTCAGTAAGCCTACCATTGCATTTAGTGCAGCTGCTGTAACCAAAGGGCCCCATGTTACCGGGGAGGAAACCGAGGCTCAGAGAGGTCATCTCACCTGCCCAAAGTCTCACAGCTTATGAGCAGAGAACCAGGGTTCAAACCCAGCACTGTGTGATGCTAACCCTTTTCACTTTCCCACTATCTCCACAGAGCCTGTCTCCGTGGCAAGCGTAGGGCGGCTCAGGGTCCCTTCCCCAAGAGCAGGGGTACGCGGGGGCTTGGCCCTGGATCCTCTGTCTGGAACCCTAGACCTGTGGGTACCCTCAGCTTGAGAGGGATTGGAGACACGGTTTCCCACCCAAAATAAAACCCTCACTCCTTGGAGATGGGGTCTAGACCACTGGGAATTCTGGGAGAGAAAGACACACACATGGATACACATGTGCCACGCCCACTTAGGGCTTTCAAAATATGAGCCACATGGCCAGGTGCAGTGGTTCATGCCTGTAATCCCAGCACTTTGGGAGGCCGAGGCAAGAGGAATGCCTGCGCTCAGGGGTTCGAGATCAGCCTGAGCAACATGGCAAGACCGTGTCTCTACAATAAATCAAAAAATCAGCTGGGCGTGGTGACACATGCCTGTGGTTCCAGCTACTTGGAAGGCTGAGGCGGAAGGAGCGCCTGAGCCCAGCAGGTCAAGGCTGCAGTGGCCATGAGCATGCCACTGCACCCCAGCCTGGGCAACAGTGACAGTTCAACTCAAGCATGTATACATAGGAGCCACGAATCAGACCACCTGCAATGTATGCCCAGTTCTGCTAACACCTCCCATGTGACATCAGATGTGACTTCACCCCTGACCTGAGGCTCCCAGATCTGTGCAGCGCGGATTCTCCCTGCCCCCACCCAGAGCACTGGCAGGGCAGGAGGGCCCCAACTCTCCCCTCTTGAAGCTGTAAGTGCGAAGCCTGCGTGGCACCTGCCAATGTCCTCTAGCAGGTCGAGGCAGGAGGCCGGATAAGGGAGTGAGACCCTAACCCTACCAGCCCTCCTCATGTCCATGTGCCACCATGGGGCGGGCTCAGCTACTCACCCGTGTCCTTTGTCCCCAGAGATCTCCCTGGATGTGGACGCAGACCGGGATGGTGTGGTGGAGAAGAACAACCCAAGGAAGGTACCTGGCTGTCAGGCAGAGCCCCTGCCTTGGCCCTGCTGGCAAACACGGCCCTCTCATCTCTCCCCTTTCACAGATCAGGAGACGGAGGCCCAAGACGGGCTCCCAGACACGCAGCACACAGGGCGACAGAGAAGCCCAGGCTCTTGCTAGGGACAGGCTCTTGTGGCGGGTTCCTGAACCTGTTTCCCTAGACAGGATGGGGTCACCCCAGTCACAGAACTGTGAAAAGAACAAATGTGCCTGCTATGCAGGTGTTTGCTCTTGTCATTTTTGCTTTTTACTTTATTTTGAAACTGAGGGGAGAGAGGGAGGGCCCTCAGGAGCAGACAGCTGCATGCTTCATTCTCAGTCCAAGGCGTGGTGTTCTCTCTGCTGGTGTATGCCCCACCTCTCTCCTGCTTCTACTCATTCATTCATTCATTTACCCTTCATTCATTTGGTCCTTCATTCATTTGCTTGTTTTTTTGTTTGTTTGTTTTTTGTTGAGTTGGAATCTCACTCTGTCACCCAGACTGGAGTGCAGTGGCTGCTCCCAGCTACCGCAGCCTCAACCTGCTGGGCTCCAGCGATCCTCCCGCCTCAGCCTTCTGAGTAGCTGGAACTACAGGCACGCGCTACCACGCCCAGCTAGTTTTTGATTTATTGTAGAGATGAGGTCTCGCCAAGTTGCCCAGGCGGGTCTCGAACCCGCGGGCTCAGGCAATCCACTCACCTCAGCCTCCCAAAGTGCGGGATTATAGGCTGAGCCACCGAGCCGGCTATGCTTGTTTTCTCTTACCTTGCATTCCCCCCTCCCATCCTGCTCCCCCACAAAGGACCGTTAGAATGGTTTAACGTGTCTCTTCCTGTGCTTTTAATCTGGGCAGATAGCATGGTGTTCTTGATCTCATTTTGTTTCATCCTCCTCTCTCAACCCAGTTTTAAGCCCCATCAGTTTTGCTATGGGTACATTCAGGTGATTGCTTCTAGCTGCTCTCCTTGTTCCACCTTTCTGTATCATTTAAATGTTTGCCTTGGGCTTATGAGACTTTTATGATAACACTCTGAAACCTAGGTTAAATTATAAATAGGCGGGTACTTTAAAAAGTAAAGTAGAGGCCAGGCACAGTAGCTCCTACCTGGAATCCCAGCACTTGGGGAAGCTGAGGCAGAAGGATTGCTTGAGGCCAGGAGTTCAAGACCAACCTGGGCAACATAGTAAGACCGTATCTCTACAAAAAAAATTTTTAAGAGCCCGTGGGTTTGAGACCAGCCTGGACAACTTGGCAAGACCTCGTCTCTACAATAAATAAAAAGTTATCCGGACATGGTGGTACATACCTGTAGTTCCAGCTACTTGGAAGGCTGAGATGGAAGGATGGCCAGAGTGATGCTGGGGTGGCCGTGAGTGTGCCACTGCACTCCAGTCTAGGAGACAGAGTGAGACTCCAACTCAAAATATATAAACAAATAAATTAGTTGGGTGTTAGAGTGCACACCTATAATTCAAGCTATTCAGGAGACTGAGGTAGGAAGATCCTTTGAACCCAGGAGCTTGAGGCTGCAGCGAGCTATGATCTCACCACTGCACTCTAGCCTGGGTGACAGAGCAAGACCTTATCTAAAAAAAAAAAAAGTAAAATAGGCCAGGCACAGTGACTCATACCCATAAGTATAGGGACTCCCAGCACTTTGGGAGACTGGGTCAGAGACTTGCTTGAACCCATGAATTTGAGACCAGCCTGGGCAACATAGTGAGACCTTATCTCTACAAAAAGTTAAAAAGTTAGCTAAATGTGGTAGCATGCACCCACAGTCCCAACTACTTGGGAAACCGAAGCAGAAGGATCACTTTAGCCTAGGAGGTTGAGGCTGCGGTGAGCCATGGTAGTACCACCACATTCCAGCTAGTGAGATGCCTGGGGCCTAGCAGCCTGCCCCAGACCCTGCAGGTCAGGAGGGGGTTCTCAGGCCTGTAGGGCTTCCTCTTCTCCCAGGCTCTTGAGTGGGGCTCTGCCTCTGCCTCGGCTCAGTCCCCCACACACATTCTCTGTGTCTGTGGCCTAGCCACATAACAGGAACTCCACAGAGGCCTGTGAGAAGGCTTTCAACCTGCCCCAAGGGGCTCTGTCCTCTTGACAAAGTCACACAGTCCCTGTGAGCCTGAACTTGGCCAGAATCTCTCCACCTGGACCACAGAAGTTTTCACATCTTCTTCACGCATCCCATAAACATGTGTTGAGCATCTTGTCCACTCCGTAAGTGGGTCAGGCCCACTTCCGGATGCAGAAAGAACAAGAGAAACACAGCTCCTGCCCTTGGGGAGCCCACAGTCCACATCAGATAGAGTGATGTGGGTGGCTGTGTCCTCACAATCTAAGTACTTCCAAAAAGGACTGTACGGGACGAGGTGTGGCCCCAGGGAAGCTGCTCTGCTCTGGAATCAGGAAGGCTTTCAGGAAGAAGGGGCAGGTGCTGTGACCGAAGAGGGATAGAGCTGGCCGGGTGGAAAGAGGCAGGACATTATTCCAGGTGGACGGACCGGGCCAGCCAAGGCCTAGGAGCTCAGGTCTTTGGGGAGTGGAAAGGTGCCGGGGTGGGGGAGCAGAGTGTTCGAGGGGCACAGTGGGGGAAAAAGATGGAGACCAGGCGAGTCTTGCCAGAGTGAGGAAGCGGGACATCGTCCCAAGTCAACAGGGAGCCCTGAGACAGCTTAACACTGGGGAGCAACATGATCTGGTCACAGCTCGTTCTGGTGTGCCCTGGTTGTGGTGAGGAAAATGCACAAGCCCTATTAGGGGCATTCAGAATGTGTCTGGATGTCCATCCAGGCGGCTCCTCTGAGGGTCCCTAGGGACCTTGGGGCTTGTCTGCTCATTTCTCTGGCCAGCCTCTACCTCCACAAGGCACAGCCACACCGGGCGGGAGGCCCACAGGTGCTTTGGTTTGCCTTCCTGCCTCCGGGTCTCTCTTGAACTTGCCGCTGATGCCCACGTTGACTCGCTGTGGGCCTCAGACTTCGGACTCACACTTGCCAGGTCACAGCTGCCCCCGGGGGAGACTACGCTTTATCCTCATGCTGGGACTGTCGCTCCGGTGTTCCATGAGTCTGCACTAGGACAGGGCAGAGGGCACTGACCTCTCTTTCTGCTGCTCAGGCGACCTGGAGCTGGGGTCCTGAGGGCCAGGGGGCCATCCTGCTGGTGAACTGTGACCGAGACACGCCCTGGCTGCCCAAGGAAGACTGCAGTGATGAGAAGGTCTACAGCAAGGAAGGTGCCAGCGGGCCCCGCGGTGGGGGTGGGGGACAGGGAGCACCGAAAAGATTCATGCCAAGTCCCGGGTGGGGCTGAGGCTGAGGCAGGTGTGGACTCTAGCCTCCTGGGGCTGGTGGACTCAGATACCCTCTCGCTCAAAGCAGAAGACAGCACTGAAAATACAGTTCAACCGAAACCATGTCTTTTTTAAAATTACACACGTACGTAGAAGACGGACCCAGAGGCCGGGAGTGGTGGCTCAAGCCTATAATCCCAGCATTTTGGGAGGCCAAGGCAAAAGGATTTCCTGAGACCAGGGGTTTGAGACCAGTCTGGGAAACTTAACAAGACCTTGTCTCTACAATAAATAAAACAATTAGCCGGACGTGGTGGCCACACCTGTGATTCCAGTTACTTGGAAGGCTGAGGCAGAAGGATCACCTGAGCCCAGCAGGTTGAGGCTGCGGTGGCTGTGAGCATGCCACTGCACTCCAACCTGGGCAACAAAGTGAGACTCCAGCTCAAAAAAAAAAATGGACCCAAAGGAAATTTTCAGAAGGTTAGTAGGAGGTCATCTTTGATGTCAGAGAGGTCAACTGGATGTTTTTTATTTGTTTGTTTTGTTTTGATTTTTGAGTCATGGTCTCACTCTGTCACTCAGGCTAGAGTGCAGTGGCACGATCAAGTCTCACCAAAGCCTTGACCTCTTGAGTTCGGGCAATCCTCCCATCTCATCCTCCCAAGTAGCTGAGACTACAGGCGTGTGCCACCACACCCAGCTAATTTTCTTAATTTTTTTATAGAGACAAGGTCTCGTGATGTTGGCCAGGATGGTTTCAAACTCCGAGGCTTAAGCCATCCCACCTCAGCCTCCCAAAGTGCTGGGCTTATAGACATGAGCCACTGCATCTGGCTCAGACAACAACTGGGGTATTTTTGTTCCATAGTACACATCCACAGGATCTTCTTTTTCCTGATTATAAAAGTAAGAGACCTTGGCCAGCCAAGGCCCTAGCAGCAAGTCTCTTCGTTCTAACCTCCTCACACATCTGTCCCCTCATCCCAGATCTCAAGGACATGTCCCAGATGATCCTAAGGACCAAAGGCCCTGACCGCCTCCCTGCTGGGTACGAGATGGTTCTCTACATCTCCATGTCGGACTCGGACAAAGTGGGCGTGTTCTACGTGGAGAGTGAGTGACTTAGCCCAGCCCTCTGAGGCCACCTGCCCTCCTCCCCTGAGCTGCAGCCCCAGGTGCAGGTCCCTGGAGAAGACTGAGTTTGTCTCTGGGTAGTTGTAACTAGAACATGCCGTTGCCCCGTGACATCAAGAGTCTCTGTGGGAGACACATCTCTTCTCCCCATATCTGCAGTGACACAGCCCAGGGGCCCTTCTTCTTGATGATCAGGGAGGAAGGACCTTTGAGTTCCCCCTTTTCTGGAGTTGTGTTACCTTCATGATGCCGGAGGCAGGGCAGGCGCCACCTCCAGGTGTTTTCTGCCACTTCTGACTTTTTTTTTTTTTTTGG